AAAAAAAAATAGAAATTCCATCTGATCCATCTTAATTCACCTAGATATTTTCCTCAGAGAATTACAGTCCCTGTATTGCAGTGATTCACCCAATACCCATCTTTATAGCAGCACAACTCATACTCATACTGTGTCTTGGAAGCAGCATTCAGCAGTTGAATGCTAAAGAAAATGCATATGTGTACACAATGGAGTACTATTCAGCCACCGTGGAAATGAATCTGAATTACTTGTGGCAAAATGGATGCACCTTCAGACCACAATTCTAGGTAAAATAAATCAGATACCGAAAATTAAACATCACATCGTTTCTCCTATATTGATAGGAAAACAGGAGATAGAGCTTGAAAATGGGAAAGATATCCTGGGATACAGAGACAGGAGAGGGGGAGGGGAGGTAAGATTATTAGGATGCACTAAGAGTGTATTTGTCAGATGAGTGTAATTATTATGTATTGCAAACATGCCCTACTTTAAAAAGAAAAGAGCAGCCCTAAATGGGGTACTGGGGTGCAGATGGGGACTGAGCTGGAGGAGCCCATGCAGGCCGCTGGCTAATGCAGCTCTGTGTACGCCTGCCTTTTGTCTTTTGCTAGCCAAGCTACTTTCTGGGAAACATTCTTTCCTCATTTACAAGCCTTTTACAATAAGCTGATGTTGGACCTCTCTCACACATTTTTCCTTTGTAGCAGAAACGTTCAGATTACCTGTTCTTTGAGCAGAGCTTTTGTAGACCAGAAAATCTTTCTACAGTAATGGATGTAATCTTATCTGTTGCAGCTGATTTTTAGTAAATGAGCTGCATCTTGCAGTAAAGGCTCAACACAAACAAACACAATTTCTCATCAAGTATTTTTCTGGTTGGTTCAACTACATTACAGGACATGGGTTTTCTTGTTTGCTTGATTTTTTAAAGTTAAACCCCACAGAGAAGGAGAGAGCAAGCCCTGGGAAGACAGTTTCTAGCCCCAGTAGCTCAGCTAGTGGGGCAGAAAAGGAGGAGGCCCCATTCTAAAGCGCGTCGTCTATTCCAGGCTCTCCTCCTTCACCCTTCTGCTATTCTAATTGAACTACTTCAAAATGAGAGAAAAATAGGTTAATAGTTTCCATGGGCTTAGCCTGTCACCAGAGGCATACTAGGCCATTTCAGGGCATTGGGTGACTGCAGCTCTGAGGAGAGGGTGCTGATGGATTCACCAGTTCATCTTGGGATGGGCTCCAGGGTTGAGAGACTTGGGCCATCTCTGTGGTGCCAGCGTGGAATTAAACAGTTTCCCTTCATTCATTTTTCCTGTGCATATATATCCCCAGCTTTTATTATTATTATTATTATTATTATTATTATTATTATTATTCCAACAATACCTT